CCTGTGCGGCTTGGGCGGCCCCGCAGGGCGCGGCGGTCTCATTTACGGCCATTAAAAGCAGAGGTCAGTCGGCCTTGGTATGGTATTTAAGCAGGCGTGTGAGAACTTGCACCTTCCGAAGAAAGCTAGTCTAGCGCTTCAGAATGGGGCTGCCAAGCGTAAGTTCCTCGTCTGCGGCGCTGCCGGCGGGAGACAAGGGAAGGGCAGCGCAAGGGCGGGACGGGCGGTGCTGCACCGCGGCTTTGCCGCCTTTCCGTTTCGAAACGGCTGTAGCCAGTCATTGCAGCGCCACGGGGACTCGCGTGGATGTGCGTCCCAGAACTGATGGCGGGTAAAGGAGATTCGGGAAGAGCACGAGTCCGGTACTCTACAAGAATTCTGAAATTTCTTACTTTACCAGAATGTTTTTATCTGAACAGTGCTCGAGTACAAATGATGAGCAAACAGATTATTTAGCAAACACAGATACCTGCCAAGAAGGGCTTTCCAAGTACAAAGCCGATGTCATCTGCATGATCTGCTTTTACAAAGATTGGCTTTGAACATTTAGTTGAACGTGGTTGATGCTGAAATTCATAAAAGTACACTGGATCGACTAATAGACAAGTAAAACAAGTAATCAAAACTCAAAGCTGGTGCTTCACTGTTACTTGTTAAAGCCCCACTTGGAAGCGAGAGGTTTGCAGGAGCTCAGAAGGGAGTTACATGGATACCTGCTCAGGTACTACCAGTCAGCAATGCCTGCTGTCTTCCATATGTGGAAATCACTTGCATAAGGAAAACAACATTTGAATAATCTTATTGTGAGTTTTCACAGAATTATCTCAAGCTCATGGCTCCATTCTCTTCGGGGATAGGTTGTTCTCCTCAGATACATGTAGCATCTCCTGGAGCTTGGGAACCAGCCTCGGGGACCCTGAACGGACGGACCCTCTGCAGAGCCTGAACTGCAACCCAATGCCCCCCCTACACCTGGCACTTAGTTGAAGGACATCACAGTACATGGGGGAATTCTGCTGCAGTGTCTGTGTCCAAGAAAATGAAGGGGGAAACAAAGCGGGGACTAGTGCAGGTCTGAGGTACCAACCCTCACTAGATAAAAGTCAATTAGCACATTAAAATTGCCTCTTACTGTGAAAGACTCTGTGCTCTTTAATGCTTGAATGCTACATTTTTGTCCAATCCTTTTGCAAGAGGAGGATGTTTCAGCACCTGCAGAGTAAAAAGAATGTTTTCTCTGAGCTCCTATGGTCCTGAATAGTTAAGAAATCAACGTATAAATAAAAGGCATTATATGCATCTCACAGTTGGAAGTAGAAATCCAAATTCATGGTTCATTACTCCTATTATGTACGGGACTGCATTGATCCTTTTATCAGCCCGTAGCAGTGATGGGTTTTTAGGGAAAAATATACCGTCCACAACTGCATCAATAAAGAGAGAAAGCTGGAGAAAAAAGTACCCCTTTGTTATTTACATACTGGTTTTGCTTGGAAAGATAATTCAGCTTTCTTAGTATTGACCTAAAGAAATCACCCAAGTGACCTATTTTTAGTTATAATACATAATGTCAAAGGTAACTAAGTTTCAGGCATTGTTCTGAGTTTCTCTTACATCGTTTTAGTACCGCACAAGAATTTAATACTGAATGCTCAAGGCAGAGAGTGACTTGTTAACCAGTTTCTAACTCCAGCTTCTTAGGGTTGGATGAGTAACAGGGTTAAAATAAGCTTACGTGGTAAGATTGCGAAAGAACTGACAAGCCAACACAGTGATATGGAAAAACTGGTCATGGCAACAGGTAAAACAGCTACTAATAAAAAGTCAGTTTTGCAAAAAGAAGAGGTTTCTCAATGACTGTACTTCCTACAAAGGTTGCTGTGTTACTTCCTCCAATATGCAGTCCTTCCTTCTTGCCCACTGTATTAAAAAATCAGCCAGCTGCTAGGAAAGTGCCTTGCTGATGACACAAAGGACTGCCTAAAGCTGGCCAGTTCCATTTTTGCAATTTTAACTCTCCTGTCTGATATTCTTGAGCCTGCCTGGTTCATAGCCGTTCCCAGGGAAAAAAAAGCATTAATTGTTCACGTTCCTGTGATGAATGCACTTCTACCCTGAAACACATAAGAACAGACCACAAGGAGGGCAGGGAATGTTCCTGTTCAGGTTCTTCAGGTGCAGAATTATTGTTCAAGTGCACTGTTGTGAAGTCCTGCAAAAGCCAAGCAAATGTCATACAGTGGTTTTGCTTCAAGTTATCTTAGTCTTAGAGAAGGATTTATTCTGTCTTATAAAACAAAGTACAGCACTAGCTACCATTTTTAGAGTTATGTTTACAACCTCTTTTGCTGTTTTTTCTCTTAAGCACTGAACCACTGCAGCTGAATCAGGTTTCTCACAGCCAGCATAGTTGCAATTCTCTGCAATCAGCGTAACAAAAGACCGACAATTTTCTTATATTAACTACGCTACTTACTCCTCCGTGGGCAGTGCTTTCTTCAGCAACTGAGTCACAGTGAACAGTCATTAGCTGCACTGTGCTGGGAATGCTAAGTGATTTTGCAGAACTCCAATTCCTTCCATCACAGCTGAAAACCGGAGTCACGTTTCATGTGAAAGCTGTGACATAAGTTACAACAGCATGTGCACAATACTGAGTTTGCAAGTTTGAACAAAGCAGTATCATAAATGGGTGTGCAAATGGATTTTTTTCACAGGAAGCATCAACATGTGGAAAGCTACAATATTAAAAGGTCAGTAATAATACTGAATACTGCTAAAATACTAAAATGTGGAACAATATATGTTTTAAAATTACTTACTTTAGCTTGTTTTTCAGGATAGTCAGTTATCAGAGTTCTGTCTACAACTCCATTCTCTGAGATAGCCCTATGGAACAAACCCTTTGCCAGAGGAGAGATGACCTGAGAAGTAGGAATGGCACATAACAAACATACTTGGTCACCAACTTAGAAAGGCAATTATAGAAATTAGGTATAATTAATACATTTTTAAAAAAGATTAAGTGTTCTATTGACAGAATGTGAAAAACAGAACAACAGCAGCAGTTCTTGCTGAATATTATCAACTAAATATACTGCTAAGAATTTCTTCAAATATAGGTGCACCGTGCATACATTTGTACTTAATGTATATGTACTGTTACCTTGAGCTGAACTGGGTATCTATACCAAGTGACCATTAATACTAAAGATATAAAATAAAACGTGATTTGGAGCATAATGTAGCAATCCGCTACTTAAAGGTAACCTATACATTGTGGCCCTAGTATTATTCCTTTCTCAACTGTTTGAAAGCATACCATTCTTTATATTTGGGGGTTTAAAGCAGACAGATGGACAGAATGCTTCTTCTCACACAGTCAGAAACTACTTTGGTATCATATGTGCCTAATAAAATAAAGGGCCTCACTTTTCCACAGAAGTTATACCTATGATTTCGCATTCACAAACACACGGAATTTTTTCTGTCATGTGCAAGATAATGTTTTTTGTGAACCTACAAGGACAGAAACACTAATTCAAGTGTAAAGGACTTAAAGGCTACTTCATATCAGAACAGGGGAAGGAATAAAATGCCCAGTGTGCTGGCACACATATTAATATGCTGCATTAAGAAATATGTGACAGAACTAGCAGTATGGTTGAACACTGTTGCTACAATTAGCTGTTACTTAGTGATGGCTTTTTGCAAGTAATGCTAACAACTAGTGTTTTTTGCAAGTTACGGAAAAAATGCGCAAAAGGGGATAGCCAGTCAGAGGCTCAGTATAGATCACACTGCTCGAGGTCCACCAATGTGTGAAAGCCAGCCCAAGTGAACCCAGAGGTGAGGTGGAAGAAGAAGACATCCTCAAGAAATCAACACCTGCAGGCACGAACTTGGGCTGCCAATGTGTCACTGTGACAGCCCCTCCCGAGAAGAGTAGCCATAGACTGTGAGATGCTGCGGGAGATGAGAGGATGAGCTCGACACCAGTTAAGAGGGTAGTTAGAGCTAATTTACTGCTCTTTGTTTATTGTTATGAGTAGAGTTCTTACAGATTTTTGGCTGCTTACATTGTGTGTTCCTTTGTGCCTGGCAAGCGTATCTTGCTTGTCATGTAACTTTGCAAAAAAGCCACTCCACTACTTGTGTGCCCTGACACCTTCCAGATATGCCAAAAATGTGGTCACAGCTGCTAGTGCTTTTGAAAGGAGGAAGACTGGGGGTGCATGCTTTTCACATCAGCAGCTCTTCCCTTTGTGGGCCCATGGACAACGTTGAGCTAACAACATGCAGTGAACAACATCATACTTTGCTCTCACTCTGTCTCAGTGGGTGTCTGTCCTGCCAGCAATGCTTCCTCCCTCCATCCGGTGAATTGTGAATTCTGTGCCAGAAGGGTTGAAGAACAGATAATCACCCCACAGAATAGTCTGTGAAAACCCTAGGGCCTTGAGACTCAAGTCCTGTAAAGAAAGCTGGAAAATTCATATCTGAAATCCTTTAGGTTAAAGAAAGAAACTGGGCACATTTCTGGCTTCTTGGGTGTGATTTAACCTCTTGGAATTAGCCTCTATCAGTTAAGTGAAAGAAGAGGAAGTTCCAAAAAATCAAAAGCAACATTTATTTATAACAGTTTACAAAACAAGAAAACAAGTAGAGATTTTCTGTCCTCATTTGTGAGATGTCAAGCCCATCTCACGTGTTTTTTGATGGTCTGCTCCCTACAAGCTACTTCCAGTTGAAGAAAGTGGAAAGAGGCTGTAAGAATGACAACTGACCATTCTCTTCTGAAAGAAGAGGGGAATAAGCATATAACATATTCTGACACTTATGATATATTCTGTATAGGTAATTTCTTACAGATTTCAATATATTTGCCAATTTCCCCCTCATTCTCCCTTCTCACAGCAGCATTATTCAGTTTTGATATCCACTGAGTAGACACCATGATCTTTTTGAGCCTGAAAGATTGTGGTGTTTTTCTGCTTGCTTCATTAAATAGTGATTTTTAGTCCCACAAACATTCCAAATTTCCCTTGATCCTCTCCTTCCACTGTGATCATGACAACAGATTACATAATAGTGAGTTAGAAGGTGATTATTAAACTCTGCATCCTGAGAAACTAATTATGTTTGACTTTACTTCAGGTTTTAAAAGCAAACTATACCCTCCACAAGTCTTATAAATCTGTGTGTTCTCTCCTTTCATTCATCATTCGTTTTGTGAGCTGTATCCAAAACTCCATTTTGCGTTCTTTCAATTTCTTTGCTGCCTTTTGCATTAGGTCTATTTCCAGGTATCTTTCATCCATATCATACTGAGGCCAGTGGACCAAGCCTTCTCCGTTGGGATTTCTGGAAATAATATAATGAAAAGTTAGCTTTCCATTTGCCTATCAATCGTGCTCTGACTGCTCAGGCTGAGAGCATTTCAGAAAAATAGCGAGAGCTCAGATTATGTGATTCTAGTACCTGAATAGTCGGATGTTTTTTTCAAAACGCTCATCAGTGGAATAGCAAACATTTAATAATTGCCATTACTTTTGCATCTAAAACTCCATTGCAGATGGAGTAATAGCTCTTGGGATTTTTTTGTTTCTTTTTTTGGTCTGCAGGTTCATTTAAAGGGTTTTTCTTGCAATCATTAAGAATAGAAATAATTTGCTTCAATATTTATCATAAATTCTGCCAAATTTGTAGGAACCACCATGTAAGTGTTGCTATTATGTTTCAGGCAGCACAGATGAAACTTGAGCTGTAATTAGCAGTATGATTCTCACCCATTTCTAGCAAAGTTAGTCCAGTATCTCATAACAGTTCTGCTAAGTTTATTTTCTTCTTCTGTAGCATACCCTGCAAAGTGAGAGATGAAATGGCAACATTAAAAACTAAATAATCGAAAAAGTATCAGCTATATCAATTCCAATAGACTGTAATGAGTTCTACTTGTTACTCTGAGCTATGGGAGTTTCACCTGAGCAGAACTCTAGGAGAGAACTACAGATGAATGATTTCATGAAAAGTAACTACTACTAAAGACAGAAAATGCTTATGTTGATTTCAATGTTTCTAAGAGAGAAAGTCTATTCCAAAAGCCCTCCAATAAGTAAAATTAATAATAATGATGTTTGAAAAGGAATACTGTAGTAAGCATGGATACATCACCGGCTAAGAATGGCTTTCCAAAGACAAAGGCAATCTCATCTGCATGATCTGCTTTTACAAACTCTGGTACAACACCTGTTGCTGAACTTGGTCGATGTTGAAATTCATAAAAGTAGACTGTGTGGCCAGCATCTAGTAGAAAATATACAGAAGAGTGTTAGTCTGAGAGCTGAAAATACCTGCCACCAAAGATGATAAACTTTCATTACAAGCTATTTTGATAAAATGAAAACACTATCAGTTCTTTGGATAACGAAGTGCGATGCATACTGTCCATAAACACACCCCAGGATGGAATTCTACATTTCTTCTAATAGATGCTGAATTAGAGACTCACCTCTATGGTATCTAGCCACTTCAATGGCTGAAAGAACAAACACACAGTCTCCTATTGCATCAAGAAGGCCATCTCGCACCTGAGCACGGTTTTCTGCATTCCCTATGTATTCATTGTATACTCGATCAACATCTTCAGAAGTAAGACCCTGAAATAGACAACAGAAATACTTCTTATAATGATGATGAATATTATAAAGAGTAACAGCGCTAATTGAGTGTGCCATCTGCATGTCCCTGGCTAAACCCCAAACATTACCTTCTTTCAGAGAAAATCCTCAACTGTGCCAGAGTGTGGCTCAGAGCTCAGAATGGGGAGTTACAGAGCTACCAGATATAGATGTTCTCAGGGAAAAGAGATTTGCACGATCTAAAGATCACACATCTTTAGATAAACATCAGTCAGTGATGCTGATAAATAGATGTGGTAGTCTGTTTTCCCCTCTGTGGAAATAACCCTCATAAGAGAAAAAAATCCTGTTGGTTTTCGTAAAATTCATTTATTGTTGTAGATGGCCATAATTTACTCCCTTTCAGAACAAGCCTGGGCTCTGCCTTTCCAAGTTCATGATGGATGTCTGTGACACTGAATGATCCATTGCAAGTACTGGCCATGTTTATAATGTCCTTAATTCTTAACCGTTAATCTGCATTTTTCTACATTTAGTAGTTTCAGGAGAGCACGAAGGAACCAGAAGGCTGAGAGGTTTGTAAATTACAGGGAAGCAAAAACTCAAGATACCTAAACATAGGTCTCAGTGCCATTTTAAACATCTCAGGTTATCCTTTCTAGCTTCCAGCTACTGCTTCAGAACGGTGTGTTCTGTAGGTCTTATGTCATACCTGCTGGTACCATGCATGTCTTGGATAACCTAGGGTATCCAAAATGTCACAAGAGATCTATGTTTAGGTACCTGAATCGCTCCTGGATTTCCACAGAACTCCTTTCAAAAAAGAGGGGCATTTAGGATAGAAATTTAAAGTGTATTTTCAATCACTAGTGGCAACAGGAATACACCATGTCTGCTGCCCATTACTGCCCCATGGTAGGAAGCTGTCAAACAGAACAAAGTTTGCCTATAAAATACACCCCTCCAGGAGTACAAATATAGAACCACACCAGTGAAGAAGGAGCACTGGGTTACTCTGAAAATGGTCTCTTACCTTAAGTGAAAATGCTAAGCATCTCTGTAAAACTTGACGTGCAACATCTTCATCCAGACCATCTGTGTAAGCAGGAAATTTCATTGTCTGCATGATACAGAGGATCATATTTATCAGACAATCTTATATTAACAAAATGATATATAAATAACGACATTATAAGTCTCTTACCATAGGAAGTAACCATCCAAATTCACAGTTATTTACTCCTATTATATATGGGACTGCATTGATCATTTTTTCAGATAATAATTGCCTGGGACTCTTCGGAAAAAATACACCATCTGCATATGCACTGATGAACAGGGAAGACTGGAGGGGGAAAAAAAAAAAAAAGAAAGCTTCATTAATACACGAATTTTGCTTCTAGAAGAAAATTTCAGATTTTTACTATAGTTCCAAAGCAAAACAAATTAAGTGCCAAGTGAAAATATAAGAAATAATAGTATTCAAGCCATCTTTAAATTTTCTCTGACAGATTTTCTGCACTAGGCAGAAGATTCTGTGAAGATCAACATTATATTTTTAATGTTTGTGAAACATAGGTGATGGTGTCCAATTTACATCTCTTCTTAGTTAGTTCAATCCTATTATGGATGTATGGAGCAGTAGTGGAAAAACTACTGTGTTGAAACTGCAAAAGAATGTGGAAGCCAGCACTGTGATAAGAAATTTTAAGTAGGACCTAATATATTATATTAATTAATTTTCCAGTTCTCCAGGAGACACTGTGACATTTCATACACTCTTTTCCTTCGCCTGGTAGAGCATGACAGCAAAACACAAGTAGCTCAAAGTCTATGCAGAATGAAACGGAACTAACCTGTTCACATTTTTCTGGTGAGGTATAGCACAGCTGCAGTGTTGTGAAATCCTGAAAAGGTCAAGAAAGTCAGATGTTACATTCACTTCAAGTTCTCCTAATATTACAGCACACAAATAGCATACTCCGTTATGATAAAATTTGAAATGTCATTTAAATGCAAGAAGTATAATTCCACCTACCATTTTTAGTGTTATCTGTACTATCTCTTCTTCTGTTTTTTCTCTTAAGCATTCAACTATTGCAGCTGAACTGGATTTTTCACAGCCAGAGGCAGCAACAATTCTCTGCAATCAATAAAAACAAACATTCACTTTTTCATATACTTCCCATAGAGGGCTCTATGTGCCACCGAGCCTGAGAGTCCAGCAGGGGGGAGCCTAAGCTTCTGCAGAAGGATCATTGAAGCCAGACATGTTCCAGCTGCGGATGCAGAGAACAGGAAGCCCTCGTGACCCTTCACACTGTGGGCTAAGCAGAAGGGCAAAACATACTCCTCTAAAATATTTTGATACAGAAGTAGACCAAGATAGTCATTCTGGTAAATAACATGCTGGGCTGAGAAGGCAGGATGACATAAAGGAGTTAGAGTGATGCACAGTCAGAATACAACCATGTAGATGGTAACAAAGAGCACATTATACCATTCTTGATGATGTCTTTTTGGGTGGAGTAACAGCTGTCATTAGAGCTCGTTATAATGTTGCCTCTTCTATAGCCGAGATTATCAAATCTAGGTTCCTGGAAGTTGTTTCTTGTAGTTGAAAAAAAAAAAAAAGGGTTGAAGTCAGCTCTTCTTTTCAAATATAAACAAATTGAATAAAGTCTTGTTTATTTGCACACAACAGGCATCAAACAGGAGGGGAAGAGAAGAGTATACAGAATCTGGTGCCATTTTCCAGCCAAAAATAATAGCTCAGATTTTCTTGAAGACAGTACATGTTATAGTATTCCTTTACATTTCACACTTCTTCCCTGCCTTCTCTCTTTGCTTCCTTAGTCTTTTGCTTTCACTCAGACATAGGTGGATATTTGAGTCTTTGAAAAGCAAAGCAAACACGTATTATTTGTGCACAGAAATACTGTCTTTAATGACTGTGGTTGTAGTTTCACAAGAAAAAAAAACTGTTTCTACATTTTGGAATAAACAGTTTAAGATATGCAAAACTATCTGGAAAAATAAATTACCACAAAACACTCACTTGTGCTTCCTCCTCAGGCTGGTCAGTGAACAAAACCCTGACTGCAGTACCACTCTCTGAAATGGCCTTGTGGAACAAGCCCTTTGCCAGGGGAGATAAGACCTGTAAAAAAAGCAAGAATGAGCATTAAAAGCATGACAAGCATTATGTTCTGACCACTGACTTAGAATTTCAATATTGGGAATTGCCATTTAAAACGTTTTGAAAACAAATGTCATAAGACTTATTCTGTAGCCTCTGATCATAGTTCAGCTATGCAAAAGGCTTTGGCAGCACTATCAGGGATAAGGAGTTCATGCCTGCCTTTTCACCTCCCATAGCACCTTGCTTCCAAGACTTCATGGAACTACACTGCAAGCCAGATATGGATCGAATATAACTGTGTCCAAGATAGTCTGGCTGTGCTGCAGAAGGCAAATAAAGAACTATTGGCCAGAGGGCAGGAGCTTAGGAAACAGGAATTTTTATCACGTGTATTACTGAACGCTGGTTTCACTGTGTGATCTGTACCAAATTGTGAGAGACTGGAGAAGAACCTCTTAGCCAATGTGCTCAGTGTTGATGTAAAAAGTTTACATCATCACTGGGTCACAAAATGCATATCTAGTTCAGCTATCATGACCATTCGCCTTGGTTACTTTGCACAAGTGACTGTCAAAGCAAACAGGAAATAGGCAATACATCCTCTTAAAGGACTTTTCTCATAAGGATAAATTTTTGGGGTTTTGGCACTGCAAAAAACACCCCAGAATTTAATTTAGTAGATAAGGCATAACATTTTGGGTCTGAACTACAAGATTTGGGTATGAAAAGAACATTTTCATTGATCAGAAGCTGTATTGATATCACATGGTATTACAGACCAAGGTATGTGTAAAACCATCCCTTTTCTTTCACTGACTTTTCATGCAGGTACTAAAAATGAACGTGGACCGTGGGTTTTTTCCCTAAGTAATTAAAATTCAATATTACTGTGAACTTACAAGCGCAGAAACACTGATTCCTCCTGCAGACTCTCCAGCGATAGTGATGGATCCTGGATCTCCTCCAAAATGTATGATATTTTCCTGAATCCACTGAAGAGCTGCTACTTGATCCAAATACCCCCAGTTACCTCGGGCATGCTTATCGCCAGTGCTGCAGAGAAAGAATAGATTTGTTTAAATGCTCAATGCAAGAAAAAAGGCAAAGAAATATACAATCTGTGGCATAAGAAATCAGCTGCCATTCGCTACACAGAGCTTCTCTACATAACTGAAAAACAAATGGCTCAGAGTTGAGATTAGAGGAGCAATTAAATAAGAACAGACTTGGAAGCTGACTTGGAACTTGTAAATTGTTCCCAACTGTTGCATATGTAATTAAGGAACATAGAGTTTCTTTGCATAAGCAAGTATTCTGCACGTCTCTTCACAAAGGCTTTGCACACATAATTTTGGAAATCACTTAGCAAAAACTGAGATAAAATATCTTACCTAAAATATCCAACAATACCTAATCTGTACTGAATTGTTACAACCACTACATTGTCAAAGGCCACTAATGCTGAACCATCATATGATGAAGCTGCTCCAAAAACTAATCCACCTCCATGGTATGTGACAAAGACCTGGAAAGACGAAACCAGAAACAACCCAGCATAGGTAAGAGCTCCCAGTAATTAAAAACTAAATATAAACCAAAATATACTATTTTGTGCTGTTCACTCCTGACTCTTTCAGATTACATTTCACAAATGGTAGAAGTCTTTCGAATATGAGGTCTGCAGCCTTACAAAATGGCATTGATTTTATTAAATACTTACATTATACCAGTGCCCCGTGACTTTTCACAGATTTTTTAGAGGAAATCAAACATTACCTAGCTAAAATGTCAATAAAATTTTATTTGTAAAATAGGATTCTGTGTATCTTTTAAATCTCAGCAAATATTTACTGGGGCAAAGCATGTAACTTGATCATAATCACAAAACTGCAGCTGTAAGTCTGCATATAGTACAGGTTGTAGATTTGCTGTAAAATTATTTTGCTGGAGGTTTTATAATGGTTTTACTTACAGGCAGCTTCTCCTGTTTTTCTGTAGAAACGGGTGTATACACATTCAGGTATAAGCAATCTTCAGACACTTGGAGAAGAACTTTTTCTTTTCTGTTAGTAATAACATCCGAAAAAACCTGTCCTCGTACTTTATCCTGTAGACACCTGAATAAATGAAAAAATAACAAGCAACAGAAAAAAATAAAACCTCAAAGCTACCAAGTGTAGCTTTTTTGTACTTCCACAATAAAGTGCAAACCAGAAACCCACCTCTAGTACATTTCTAGATTGTTGGCAACGGAAAACATAAAATTTTTTTTCACTTTTAATGTATTTTCTTCCTTTGACCTGGCATTAAAGAGATCCGTAAAAAGGAGCCACAGTCTATAGCAGTACACAGTGACATGCAGATATAATTTTGCATGTTTCAAAATATTACAGAAATATACCTGCAAATACATGTGGGTATAAATTACTTCAATGAAAATACAAATTAATTATTTTACATCTTCAATAGCTTTTTATATTGTAATGGTAGGTATTAGGCTTGAGGCACTAAACAAGGGCAGTAGTACAAATGGAGTAAGACATTTACAATATAGACTAGAATTGGTCTGCATTTCTTATGTGTCCTATTAAGCATGTGACTCACTCAGCATTTTTTTCTTCTAATATTTTATTCCAACATTTCCTCAGCTTCTTTCTGTTTCTGCTACACAGCTTACAAGCATTACTAAGTAATGGCCAAATGCTCCCAAAACAGAACATTATTGGCAAAGTGCTGGTCCATATTAGTTCATCACTGATGCCCATTAAATAAGAGTTTTTAATAAAAGCAGCAGCTTATAAAGATGTCTTTAGAAATGCATTCATTTTAACAGTTGCAGGTGGTAACGAGATGGCACCAAGGAATTTATCTTTGTGGCTTTTGATTGCCCTGTACATCAGTGTCCTGGAATTGGATATAATATACAAGTATTAAAAAGATCAATGGTTTTGCCATTGTCTTACATTGGTGGGTAGGAAGTGGCATCTCTGACACCTTTCCATGGCTCAGGTGGTTGGGGTTCAGAAAACCTCAGTGGTCCAACTGGAGGTTTAGCAAAAGGAAGTCCCAAAAAGACATTTACACTCCTCTCAGCTGCATCTACTTTGAATTGGTACCCTTGGACTCTCCCATATTTGGTCACCACTTCTGGTTGCTCTACTTTTTGTCCTGGGGGATGTAAGCACAAAATCACATAATTGGTCTATTTGTAAGTAATTACCGATTTCTGAGAGCTTTAGCTACTTAAATAGACACCTTTTGTTTGCTTAAACAATTCATTTTCACACATAAGGCTTCAATAAACTCTAATCAGTATAGCTGACATTATTTCAGCCTTCATTCTGATTGGTTTGTACGTAAAATCTCCCTCAGGTATATCACATGTAGTGTCTTACTATCCATACACATTAGTAATTGCATATAGATCTTAATCCTTTTTGATCCAGGTTGTTTGTTAAAAGTCCAATAAATTGCTCTCATTAAGAAAAGGCATTTCCTTTTTAAGAAAAGATCTGTGAACACACAAAATATATTCCGGACCCTTGATAGTATGTACAGCCAAAAGAAAAATCTTCTAACACACCTGAAAATAGCCTGGCATATACAAATACTGTTAACATTTAGGTAAGAATTTTAAGATCAGTGTGAAAGTTCTCAATACCAAATTACAAATGTGGTACAGTGGTCTCCTCTGCCTCAGCAGACAAGATTTTGGGACAGGAATTTGATTTCTCTATTTGCAAAAAAGGCAAATAAGACAAATGACCGAAAACAGATCACAAAAAGAAATTAAGAATATTCAGACTTAATTTCTATGCAGCAAGGTTGGGTGCCCAGATCCTCCAATAAAGCTGGGGTTCCCCTAGGTGAGCAAGCTGCACATGTGCTCTATTTCCTTACAGAAGGCAATAGGTAAAAACCCTTCTGAAGCTTACCAGTAGCTACAAGCACTGTGGCCCCGACGGTGAGAATCAAGGACAGCAGCGATGTGTCCTTTCCAGTTGCCATTTTGGAAGCTAGTCACATATTTACCTCCTCAGTGTGTTGCCTTATATACTCTGTTAAGTATAACTGTTACGCAAGGCCACTGATTAGGAAAAGCAGTACCCGAGCTGTGAGCCCGCCCAGCCACGGGCAGCCAGAGCAACTGCCCTGCCTGTAAGCCACTCCGAGGGGAGCGCATGGCAGCTCAGCTGTACATGGGAACGGAGAGACCTCCTGCCTCGCAGAGTGGCCCCACAAGTTTCATGCTGGCTCCCTAGTGCTCCTTATAAATCTTATTCACAAAACCTCAGGCATCAACTATGTGCTTTAAAATGCTTTGAAAACAGTCTTCCATTGCACCAGGAGATTCGTCCTGCTGCTGTAACACTACCATCTTTCAGCCAAGTTAGGATTTCCTCACACTACACCGTGAAGAGACCAGGAAGGGAACTACACTTTTACTTTATTACATCTGTTTACTTCATTTTGGTATTAATATCTCAGTGTATGGAACACGCAATATAGCCACAAAGAGCAAAATCCAAAACAATACTTCTGAAAAATGTGCTTTTGCTGAAGTAAAAATTGAGGGATTGTTATTCTCACAAAAGGATATTTTTTGACAAAAACAGTACTAGAAAAATCTTAGCTTTTTCTGCAGGGTGGATACTCCACCTGTCACTCAGCCCTGCATGTTCAGAGATGTTTGTTTGGTATCTAACACAATACATGAGTTTTGCAACACTTAAAGAGACGATTTCTTGGCATTTGTAGTGTGGGAACAATATTAAAGGATTTGGGTGGTAACTATACATTTAATGCCTCTGAAAAATCAGGAGGGTTTATGGACTTCCACGTGAACTCACATCTATCATTGGAGCATGATATGAAAAAGAGGGAAGAGACAGCTGTACAGAAATAAAAGAGATTTTGTGCCCACATTAACTAAGAGGTGTTAGTTTTATGTAAGCTTTGGGCTCTGCCTTTTTTTTTTTTTTTTTTTTTTTTGTAAGGCTCAGTGACTCTTGCCCCAGGAAGGCTGTTTTGCAAGTTTACATCACGAAAGTTCTCAGTTGTCAGAGACAGCTTTTCTATAGATTAATTTACTGCTTGCACCTTTGTTTTCAGCTAAGTCGACTGTAAAGACCCATAGTCATTAAATTAGTTCAGCACATATATGATGCTCCTAGTAGTCCTGTGTACCATGGCTGTGCTTGTGTACTTTACTACAAGTCTTCCTAAGTATATCTGCACAGGTGTGATTTACAGCCCTTGTAGGTAAATCCCGGTCACCTTTAAACTGGACTGCTTAGAGAGCAAACTGTTGGCAGGTAGCTTCAGATGTACACGTTCAGTGCATGCTGACTGCCTTCAGCATTTGCTCTGTTAATCAGGAGACTCCTGCCCGCTGTACTGAGCTCTGTGCTGCGGCAGCTACACTGTTAACAATGCCAATGCTATGCTAGCATGCATATCAGCTGTTTCTGAGTGTATGGTTAGTGCACAGTATACATTGGCAAATGGGATAACACTGTAAATTTGAGCTTCTAAGGAAATGATGTGGTCAATAACTTCATTGCAGAATTTTTATAGCTGTATAGATGTTCTCTGGGAGACTTTTTTCTTGTTTCTCAAGAGTGAAGTTCATGACACTAAAGGTCAATAAAACTGGTCTGGGATTAGTCTGCACTGTTATGAATGTACAGTCTATACTGTATTGATAGATGTATGCACCGTCAAATGCAATGAATGGAAACAGGTGCCTGGGGTACAAGTGATGGAGTTTAGCATAAGCTATCTTCTACCTTTATCTGTGTGATAAAGGTTTCCTAGAAGCCGAGGGCAGAGGTACTGTGTAGTAGTAAGCTCTGCACTCCTGTTTGCCTGCTTGAACACTGTTGCAAATTCTCACTGTCTCCACTTACATTGAACTGCTTTGGTTCCTGGCATGGGAAAACTGTTTCCATGTGAGGTGGAACTACAAGAACCCCTGCTTGTAACTCGGCGTCCATCCTGATAGGCATGCATGCCTCAACTCACTTGTGACCTGCAAACTACAGGAGTCGTCCTTTGCTACAAAGCCAAATGCTGTGTACTCTGCTTGTTGCTCTTTCCTTTTGCTGTAACAAACTTTATTCATCTCCATAAACAATTTGTTTTCTGTCTCCTGATCTTTACTGATTTTACTAAACTCTGTCCTTTCCCATTTGCTTTCCCTTTATTTTTCCCCTTCATTTACTATTTTCCAAGCCTTACTCTTCAACCTTTGTTCTACTCACTACTTCTCTCTCAAGTACCCATTCTGCAAAATGTCTCAGCCCATATTCCATCCACAGTCCCAGAGAAGCAGCTGTTCTGAAAATATTACCTGTGCAAACCGGTTTCTGCAAACTCTGCCAATCTTACTTACAATAAGATAATAAATAAACAAATGGGATTTTAGATCCCTACAGCCTTGCCTGTAGATACTTTGTATGGATCTACAAGCATGACCTATAAGCTCTGCAAATGTGGAAACTCTTACTCTAGTGACATAGACTAAACTTGTAGAATATGGAGACATTGCTACATACCTGGCAAGCGGAATTCTTGAATCCTGCCTGGCATTTACTTTTAAGAGAGAACGTTTTGCAGCTTACCCTCAATCAGTGAATAACGCATAAGTCAGGGATCAATCAAAAAAAATCCTTCCATATGATGACATTTGCCTCTTTATACTTTAATGCACTGCTACCTTTCTTGATTTCAATAGCTGAAAAATGGAGACAAATATCACATTTATAGGCCCATAATTGCATAAGAGCTCCCAATTACATTTTGCCTCAAGTATGTATGGTAGAAATGTTTAGAAGTCTGCATTTAAAACAGGGTCAGTTTGGTATTTTACTCAGCCCCTGGTGAGTATTCAATGAAGCTGGAGTGTGTAAAACTTAGAGCTAGAGTCTATGAAGCTAGTGCTTGGACAGCTTTAACACTCTGTCTCTTTAGCATGCAGTAATCTCACATCAGGATGTCTCTGGGATGGGACAGAGTATCAGAGCACTTACCCCTAAGTAGACAGGAGTAAAATCTTCTGACATTTTCCACTGTGATTTATTTTTAGCACTGTGCCTGTGCATAAGAAGTCCGTTCCACTGCACTTCTCTGCATACACTTACAACATAAGCATATATTCTGTGCATATACATACAATGCTGCCTGTTTATCTCCTTTTAAAGGGAGTGGTATAGGACCTCAGGGGAATTGTATGTGCAATGAAAATCTATCGAGACAATTTTGAAATTATATTCCCCTTACAAAACATGTTAGCTAAAACAAAGGAGAAGGGACAGATGCTTAGCAGGAATTCCCACTTACCAAAACAGCAGCTGTGCTAACAGTCTAACCCTACCTCCTGAGTTCTGACTGGCAACAGAATTTGGGCAGAAAGAGGTAGGAAATCCCACCCAATTTCTTCCAATAAAGACATTCAGAAAGAAGGGATGACCAGTTAGTTGCTGTAGGACATTATTAGCTATGAACAATCTTAAATTCTTCCAGAGATACAGAGGGGAGATGAAAAAAGGGGGAAACAGCTGCCCAGTGCCCCATAGGATCTATGGACCTGCATAATGCTGCCGTGAGGTAGCAGTAAGGTCAGGAATATGGCTGGGATAGCTGGAGCAGCCTAGGAGCCAGATATAGGAAACAAACAAGACTTAGCAGAGAAAGGAGTTCTTGACAACACTGAAATGACATGTTCAAGACCTGTTCTTGGCAGTCCAAGCGCACATCAGCTGGTAAGGGCACCGGAATAATTCTGGTAAGCGAATCCCTCTCCAGCACTAGTAACGAAGGCCTATGACCCAGTGCAAACAGAGAATCTGGAACTGACTAATGGCACAGAGAACAGCCTGGAACACAGTGTAAAGCACCATGGAAAAGACAGAAAGTGTGAAAATAATGTTACCAAACATTGATCCTTCTAAGGGAGTTATTGCTAAATTTAAAAGAAAAAAAAGTGTGGCTAGTGGAGACTGTTTCTCCCTTTTCTAACATTTGACAGAAGTCTTAATTCCAGCACTACTGTTACCAATTACGTATCACAACAGTCAGAAATATACTGTCTCTGTTGTAAAACTGACTTACAAAGCAGAAGATTTTTAGTTCGATTTTTCCCCCCCAAAGAGGACATTTCTGTATCTAAATCAGACCAAAACTTCTCTACCATCACTGATACACTTGACATCAAAAGACAGTTTTACTTTATTGATTTCACGTTACTAAAACAATGTTGCTGCTACATTCTGTCTTCAGTCATGGGGAAGCAACAGAAAAACCTGAGCAGTGGGGTAATCTGGTATCTGTATTTAATAAGTGAGGCTTCTGTTGTAGACATGAATCCAGGAAGAAGTAAAGGACCACAAAGGGGAAATAGATCAGTTGGAATTATTACAGTGAATAATTGCAAGTATGACAATTGTGAAGAAAAGGTGAAATGAAGTGAAACATAATTTTATCCTCAAAATTATTTTAAGTAATTTCTTTTACTAACCTAATAGTTTGCCTATTATGTGCATGTTTAGACTGTAAATTTTAACTCTGAATTAACCTTCTTGTTTTCTGTTCTTTTGTTATTTGTCTTTTCAAACATCACCTTCCTACAGAAGTCTACCTTCTTTTTTTTCAACTTTCTGGCTTTCTTTTAGATTTATCTGTAAGTATTCTTCATTTAGGTTATAAGATGGCCAGTCAACCAAACCTTCCCCATTAGGATTTCTGTAAACAAGAAGAAAGAAAGAGTGAATGCCCTTTTCAGTCGCAGGGGAATTCAATCACAGCAGTTAAGACTGAATCAATAAAACAGCTAATTCACTTTGGAGTCAGTACAAACCAGTAATATGTGTAATGAGTCTCATGATTCTTACCCATTTTGAGCAAAGTCAGCCCAGTACTTCATTAGAGTTCTACTAAGGTTCTTTTCTTCCTCTGTAACTTCACCTGAGAGACAAAATACAAAATAATTATTACATGTGGCAGAAATCAAAACATTGCTACTACAGAAGCAGCATTTCAGTC